ACTACTACTGCTACTGCTACCACCGTCTAGCACTACTACTGCTGCTGCTGCCTCTGCTAACGCTTCTGCTACTGCCACTGCTACTGCTACTGCTACGACGACGACGACGACGACTACTACTACTACTACTACTACTGCTCCTGCTCCTGCTACTGCTGCTGCTGCTTCTACTGCCACTGCTACTGCTACTACGACAAGTACTACAACTACTACTGCTACTACCATCTTGTACTGCTACTGCAACTGCAACTGCAACTGCGGCTGCTGCTACTGCTGCTGCTGCTGCTGCTGCTACTACTACTACTACTACTGCTGCTGCTGCTGCTGCTGCTGCTGCTGCTGCTGCTGCTGCTGCTGCCGCTGCTGCTTCTGCTAGTGCTAGTGCTAGTGCTACTGCTGCACTGCTACACTGCTACTGCTACTACCGCTGCTACTACTCCTCCTGCTGCTGCTTCTACTACTATTACTCCGAGCTATGAACTGCGAACCACGCGTGCTGCCAAGCCCAGAACTACTACGACGTCGACACTACCAGCAGCAGTAGCTTCAGCAGCACCTATCAGTTTGCGGGGGGAGGGGGACTTCGCACTCACGTCTTTGTCACCAACACCACTACGGCCGCCGCCGCCGGGGTCCGCCGAGCTTTGGTGGGCTGACGAAGCGAACGCTGAGGTTCACACGAGCATAGGCTTGCCATGGTTCTCCGGGCACAGCGATTTCAAGGTCTCCATAGACGCTTGAAAGCGTGCCTGTGCGACGGCTCACTCTGAACCACGAACACATGCCACTGCTTCCCTGCCTCCGCCTCCCTGAGTGCTTGTTGGTTGTTCAACTCAGCAGCAGGTCGGGTGTGTCGGGTCTGACTCTCAGCAAATGGTGCTAATGCAGTCTTGGCTTCGCACCAGGCTTCTGACTTCCTGCTCCAGCTGCTGCTTCACCTGGCAGCCAAGGGTTTGAAGGAAAGATTGAAAGTTTGCCCCCGAGGTCGTTACCACGTTCAGCTGCTGGAGCGAAGCCTGCTCCACGCGGCGCGGTGGCGACTCTGCTGGCAAGCTTCAGATCTTTCTGTCATCTCAAGCCTGTGACAAGGGAATTCCTCCCTCCTCCTGCTCGGCCTCAGGGCATGGCAGGCAAGGCAGATGCTCCTGCCAGTACAGCTCAAGATATCCGAAGCGCCCGGGCGCCCGGCAGCCTCCTCCTCTGCCATGCTGATGCTATTCGACCCAGATCCCAAGCCCTACAAAAGCTAGATCGCAGCTGCAGAGGGGAGGTGCACAGCGCAGCAGAAGAACAACCCGGGATTCGTGAGACACCAGGATTGAAGTGTCAATACCATCAATGGTCGACCAAGCCGCTGTCTGTCAGCATGATTCTATAGAGCTGAGCATAGCCCTTAAGCCCTGAGGTAATTTGCTTCAATTTTCGCTACACGTCAGCGATCTCGTCAGTACTTCCTTGCCGATGCTGCCGTACCCGTACATTGGCACACACGGCAACGATGTGCCCGGGAAGCTCGGAATGGCTCTCCTGCTTCATGTTCAAGGAGTCGGAGATGGAAGCGGGCCAAGCTGTGCCTCGCCGAACATCTGCTGCTTTGCTACGGTCACTGCGGTTCGATGAGCGTCGGAGTCGGAGATGTCGGCATCGCGGAATCGCAGGCTGAAGTCGAACGGTCAGGACGAAGATCTCCTGCGGCGTCGTCGAACGCGGGATCGTGATCGGCGAGCCTCTGCTTCTCGCCGCCGCTCCTCAATTAAGAGGCACCGTCAGACAGAGACTTTGACAAGACAACTGCCAGCTGCTTTACCCTCTCTACCTGCTTTTTGTCATAAAGCCAAGGAGCCGCAGCCCTGAGCTGCCGTTCCTCGTCACTGCGAGCCGCTCTCAACGCAAACGTGCAAACGTGCGACGGAGATGTCCTTCTCTGCTCGCCGCTGCGCTTCCTTCTCCGCAGCAGCTTTCGCTCCTCACCATGACTCGGTCGTCAGCGATTAGCTTCGGGATCGTTCCATGTAACATCTCCAACGTCTCCTCTTTGCTCCACGACACGGATGCTGGCTTCCAACTGGCACTGAGATGTGATCACGGCTCGATTCTCAGAGTCTTTAAGAACTCCTCCGAGAGAAAATCCCTCACCGCCCGCACCTGGTCGTCTCGCTCTTGCCACCGCCGTGCCGCCTCCTCGGCCTTCCTCCGCACCTCCTCCCGGCTCACCTGTGAGCCGCGATGCACGGCTTGCGCACAGTTGTGGGATCTGACAATCTGACGAGCCTCCTTCTTCCGCCGCTTCCCTTTGTCGGACGAAGACTGCCAGGGCGACAGGCCACCGCATCCGAGCACGGCAGCTTCCGGGCCGCCTTCTTCGCTCTCTTGTCCTTCTTGACCTCGGATGAACCGCAACTCACGAGATCAGAGCCCGCAGCATTCGCCAAGCCTGCGCGTCAGTCTTCGTCTTCGTGTCTTTGGGAATCACTGTCTTCTTGACGTCCTCTGCATCATCTTCCAGCTCCACGGTAATGCTCGGGATCTCATCGGCCTCAAGCCGAACACGCCCTCTCTGACAGGCACAGCCGCATAGCCCAGCCGCCCCGGCATCCGGCATCCGGCCTTGCTCCTCTGCGCCCTGCGGACCGCTTGGCCGAAGCGGGCCATGCGCTGCCGCGCACACGTCGCCTCGGCCCTCAGCTTCTCCGCCTCGAGCCTCCGCTTCCGGGCCTGTCTTATAAGCACATCGAAGCGCCAGAAGCGCTCAAGCCGCGAAGACCCGCGGCGCAGCGGGTTCATTGTTTGAAAAGAGGGTTCCGAAAAAAACCTGTCTTTTCCTGAAAGCCTCTTGTCTGCAAGTTTGCAAGTTTGCACTATGAAAGTGGCCTTGCGCGCAGCGGCCCCGGTGAGCTCGTCACCCGCTGCCGCCGCCTCCGCCTGGCGCGCCGTTGGCGCAGCAACGGAGAGCTCCCGCGTCTTCTGAGCTCCGCCCTTCCTACGGCTTTCGCTCTCTCAAGTCCCAGTCCGAAGTCTCCCCTCGTCGACCTCCGCTTCTCTTGCCCGTGCTTCCAGGAGCTCTGCTTGCGCACAGCCTGAGACGGAAATTGTCGCGGGATTCGAAACGGTCGCAAATCCGTAGGTGAAGATACAGTGCATGCGATCGAAAGGCCTGCGGTGACAGCAGCCTGCACTGCTGCATCCAAGCGGGCTTTCGCCTCCACCCACTCAGCTGAGCCCTCCGGCACAGCCCGCAACTCTTCGAGCTCCTTGGTCTCGCGGATGAGGCTTTCTCTATCTGCATTGCTTCTTGGGACAAGATGCGCTACGGACTTTCTCCAAGTCATCTTCCTGCTCTGATTGCAACTGCCCGTCCACCTGAAGCAGGCACAACAGGACAGCAGTGCACAGCGAAGAGGGCTTCAAAGGAGAGGCTCGATGCCTGCACGCAGGCGAGCTCTACTGTGGGTGTAATCAGCTTCACCCCATCGATGCTCACCTCAAGGGCCAGGAGATCAGCGGATGCCAAAAGCAGACGACGTTTTTTGGGGACGTTTGGGACCCGGACGTCATCGCCGGCGCTCTCACCGACTTTCTCCTCGAGAGTTTCCCCCATGGGCCCCGGGCCGGCCGGCCCCTTCTACTGGGCCCATCGGATCTTTTCTGCTGTGAGTGTAAAGACCAGTAGCAAAGGCTGCGCATACTTCAAAGAGCCTTCCAAAGCGAGTCATCGTGCTAAAAAAACTTATGCCGCTTGGAGCCAACGACAAGCGGACTGCCAGATTTTCCTTAGGAAAAGCTGTGCGGCACACATGCTGGTACTGACAAAGTCCTTGCAAGCATTTTCGACCACCTGGAAGGCTCTTTGGCCAACTCTCGACTAGAGCCGCAGTGGTCTGCGAGGCGACTCTGGGGGGCCGCTGGCCGCAGCGGCGGCCGCTGCGGCCGCTGCACTGCTCCAGAATCTCCAGAAAACACTGGAGAGTTGCGCCTATGCACGGATGCCCTCGCTGGACAGCTCGTCAAGCCCCACTGATTCGCAGTACGCCAGCCTCAGCATCATGTCCGGTCACACTGCCAACTCCGAACGCTCCCGAGGCAGAAGAATTTGGGCGGCTGACAGCTCCTTTGTCTCCGGAGGCATGGACATGTTCGGCGGCTTCTGGGATGGATCCTGATGCCACTGTCTTATTCGTACCTCAGCCCAGCCGCATCGTGACAGGTCAATCTTGCACAACACCAGCATCAGCTAGCTGAGCTGCGACGAGTCCTGCTTGGATGTTGTTCACACGCCAGCCCGGCCTGGAAGAGCAATTGTATGCAATTCCTGCGCTCTGCCAAGGCCCAAGGCCGCAACACCAAGCGGAAGCGCACCTGCGAGCGCAGGTGAGTGCAAGATCCCCAGTGCCGGTGCCCTGGTGCAACCAGCGGACCATCAGGTCTGCCGCAAACCTTCTCGGAAGCAGTCCTGCACGCAAAACAACCCGATTGTATCAGAACTGACAGCTCCTGGCACTCGTCAAGGCGCTCCTGCTGAAGACCTGCCAGATTTTGTGGGCACTGGGCCAAATGCATGCTGGTCCAGGCCTTTCGCCCAGAGAATCCAATTGTGCTTCACGGCGTTTAGCATCCTTCATGTCCTGTGGCACGAGTAAGAAGGAGCAGCTGATTGCTGATTTGGCGCGGCGTCCTGTGATGCCCGGAATTCTGCCTGGTCCTGCAGCCTCAAGTCTTCCACTTATCATGTTGACACCACTGTCGACAACAACCCGCTGACCGAGCAAACTAAAGGGCGGGAAATCCATCACCGGCATCGAGCAAGATTTCACCTGGACTGTCAATTGAGGCTGCGGCACTTTGGCCCGCATCGCCCGCAGCTCCTCGAGGACCTAAGATTTATCCCGGCCCAGAATATGGTCCCACAAAGTCCCAAACCAATCACTGCCACTATGGAGTCCGATAGCCTTAGTCTGGACGGCGCCCAGGCACTGCCCCTGTTGGGGACTTGATAAAAGCCATCTTGGCAACCCAAGCATCGCCCTCCTTAGGTGCAGGGTGCTGCATGGTGCGGAAGGATCCCGCCGTCTCCCTCTGCGGACTCCAGTCCCCGACACCGCTTTCTCTCCACTGGACGTCCATGTCCTTCTCCACGTCTTTGACAAACCCTTGCGCCATTTGGGAAGCCTTGGTTGGGCCGCGGATTCCGTAAGGACTGCGTTGCACAAAGACCGGCCTGGTCATCCATCAGTACAAAGCCGTCGGAAGGCAGCATGCACTCTTCTGCCTCGATGGCTCACGGACATTTCTCACCCCTCAGCGAAGCACAGCATGGCATAGCGAAGCACGGCAAGCGAGATGAGTGCGCCTGCTTTGGGTCCATAGCACAAGCACCAGCCTGGACATGCTTGAAGCACGGGTGAGGAAGCGAGCACCGGACTGCTGGGCGCGCTCGGTTGTCTAATCGTGAAAAGCCGGCGGTGCGCAGCAACCTGAGAGAACCCACACATGGCAACAGAGGTTATTCAGATTCAGATTCCTTGTCAGCTACAGCTGCCTATGTCGTGTGCAGCCAGAAAGAAGCATCGGCTTTCAAACTCCAGTGGGTGCCCTTATAGGATACACGATCAGCGCACAGCATCAGACGAGGTATACTCCAGAACGAGGCTATGAATCTCAGTCGAAGGGAATGATCTGCAAAATTGTGAGTTGGGTCTGCGACAGACCCGTTGCCGGGGCCATTGGCATGTGCATCTCCGTGGTGAGCGTCAGTGCGGTCCTGGTCCAAGATCTTCGCATGCGAGAGCAGCAACAAATGAGCTGCGGTTTCGACCGAGGCCAGGTCTCTAGCATCTCCTCCTGCAAGACCTGCAACGATTGGTTTCACAGTCTGTGTCGTTTCAGGAGGTTGGCTGAGGGTTCTGCCCCGGCTACAATGGCAACAGCAGTGCCGACCATCAACCGAATCCTTCAGCTTTCTTTCAACTCGGAGTCCCTTCGCGCTTTGCATGCTCGGGCATTTGCTGGTTGTACAGGAAGAACTGGCCGCGAAGCACGATTCTAAGCAGTTTGCCTGCGGGCAGAAAGATACATCTTCGAACTGTCCACTCAGCGAAGGCGTGCCTTCCAATGTTGGTTCCACCGAGATCATGTGCATGGTGCTCTGCCTCGTCATGGCGACTTTCTGCGATTCCGGTCTAATAAGACTCGCACCATCTAACACCGGGCTCTGGCCGCTATTTTACCTGTGTGCTACTCGGAGTCCTGTGACTGTGGGGTTGCTGGGCGATGCTGGGCGCCGGGCGTATGCTTCAAGACGTGATCCGGCCGACTTCGCCAGGCGCCGCTGCTCGCATCCTGCGCTTTCCAGCAATGTCTATGGCCGTGCGGATGCATACTGTAGCGCCAGTGCGCGACTCGCACCCGTGGGCCTTGGCGCAGACTTCGACCCACGGGCCCTGGCCTCTCGGAGCCTCGGCGGGGACAGCCTCGGCCTCGGCCTCGGCCTCACACGTCAAGTTCGTTCAGGGAGCCGAGAGTGCTGCGAAAATCTCCGGGTCACCGGCTTCGCCAGGATCCAGCGCATCTTGCGAGGGACTAAGGAATCCAGCGGATGTGCAGAAGCCTTACAAAGTGAAAACTGCTGACTAAGGCCTGCGCTCTGCACCATCTTCACCCGTTGGAGCCTTCTCGCAGCCATGGTTCACTCAGCGACATGCAAGACGGCGTTATTTCCGGGCCCACTGCATCGAGATGCTCCGCAATTTCATTGCCAGCTGAAGGCACCTACAGTGCGACTGGTGGCGATCATTTCTTGTTGTACCTCGTCCCCCAGTCTCTGTGCCTGAGTTGCCTCTGCATCGGCTTCACCTTGCCTGGCATCTCCGCTCAGGTGGCTACGGTCTACTACTATCCACCATGTGCCCGTCTCGGTAAATTCCGGCCTGGACTTCTTTGGGGCTTCGCCCTCCGTCGGCTCCAACTCCTCCTGGAAGGCCTCGGAGGCCTCTGCGTGTTGCGAGAATGAGATTCCCGGGTCTTGAAGCGGTCAGGCGCCTTCCGCTTCAGACCCTTCTGCTTCTCTTTGCCTTTCTCCTTTCCTTTGCCCTTCCCCTTGCCCTTCCCTTTCCCTTTCTTTCCCTTGCCCTTGCCAGTCTCTCCTCAGGGGCCCAGCAAAGAGTTTCGAAGCTTCGGTGCGACTCGGAGACTCAAACGCACCTTCCGACGGCTTCCTGGGCAGACAGTCAGATGCCTGAGGACGAAGAACGGCGGCACTGGGCGGCTCCGAAGGAAGACCCTTTGCGGTCTCTAAGTCGCGCCTTGAGGCGTGTGTAATTGTGAAAGGAGTGGCATCCTTTTTCGAAAGGCTCGGGATTCTTCAATCTCTGCTTCACTACAGGCCCGTGAAGAAGGCCTTCGAAGCGGCGCATAACAGCTTCGAGCTTGGCTGCCAAAGCATCCTTCGGGATGACAGCAGGCGGATGTCGGTTGTGCGAACAATTGCAAAGACCCTGAACTCCACAGATGCGGAAAGGCAGAAGTGTGTGCCATTCATGCGAGGCAGAAGTAATGTTTCAGTTTGTCCAAGCCGCAGCAGATGGTTCATCGTCTGGCGATGCACCTCTATGTTGAAAATCATTAACTTTGCGAATGTAGGCCGGTTTATCGTTGAGGAGGCGGCTCACCGGCTTTGCCAGGTGCGTCGGGAGAATGTACTCATACCTGCGAGGCGTGCGCACGGCATTCTCTGCAGCTCCTGGCCTATCTGCGCTTCTCAACTCTCGAAGGGCACTCTCGCCAGGAACAGGCCTTAGTCAAACAGCATTTTCTGAATGGGACCTCCACCCTGCTATCGGAACATATCTGAGGACTGCTTGCAGCTATGGACGAGCTGCATGCTTGGCATCGAAGCTGTTGGGCACCTTCCTGGCGCTGAAGCAGCGGATGTCTTCAGGCCTCAGAGGCTGAGGCTGAGGCGACACAAGCCGAACGGAAGAGATAATTGTAGAGATTCTGGTGATCTTCAGCTCGCAACAGGCCCAGGTTGATCTGGTCGACCAGCGCTGGCGCAGGTGCAAAGAGTTGCAAAGTCTTTCGCTTGTGACAGTTTTGCTGCCGCGGCGAGGGAGCCTCGGCTGAAGCCCACGTCGTCGATGCTCTCGGGCTCCACGCAGAGCCTCGCCGAAATCACCAGGCGGAGCGCGCTGACCTTCCACACACGTCGCTCCGAGGCGATAAAAACTTGCAGCCTCATGCGCAATTCAAAGCCAGAAAAAAGCGCCGTCTAGAAAAGCCTGAGAGCAACCCCCTCGTCGACATCCCCAACCGCCCAAAGCACGAACGCTGCACAGGATGTGCAGAAGTCATGACCGTCAATGCTCGGGCAGCCGACCCCAGCATCTGTTCGGCTGGAGCGGCTCCAGCCAACCTGCCGATTGTCCGTTAGGCTCGCGGCTCACCCGATGCCATTTTGGTGTGAAAAGTCTGCCTTCTGCTCCAGCTTCTGAGAATTGATGTCACTGACGATGCCAGCTTTCACCATGGCAACCCGCAGAAGCTCCTACGACCGAAGGCGTTTCTGAACCTCTGGTTTGACTCTACCACACTGTACCGAGCCTCCACGGATTTCTTCGTTGCCGTTGGCTCCACCTCTGGATTGATCATCAGACCGCGGTACCTGGCTGAAGCTTACGATAACACAAAGGTCTGAAGCTGTCATCACGACACCTCGTTCCGATGAAACCAACAACAATCGCTATCTTGCGCTTGACGCGCTTCTTCCCATCACCTTTGGGTCCAACAGTGCAATTTGCCATATCGATCTTGAAACGGCCGCGCCTTCCTCACCGTCGCCGTCGGCACCGTCGGCACCTTTGGCTTCAGCATCCTCGCATACCGTGCCGCATGACAGGGCTTAACAGCACGGAGCTCACTTTGTGAGTGGCCGGGGGGTCCTCCATAGCATGCCGGAAT